CTCGGACAGGTCGTGGAGCTCTCCCGTCACGATGCAATGCGCCGGCTCCGCGGCATCCACGGTCGAGAAGACCCAGCACGATCCGCATTGGCCTTGGTTGTGCACGGGGTTGGCGCACTTGCTAGTGGTTCAGTCCACCGAGGCCGCTGCTCACGTTAAGTTTGGCCTCAGGGACCGAGCGGAACGCACTGTGAAATTTGTCGAGGACCATACCCTCCAGGATCTTCTTGAACCCTCTTCGCATCAAGTGAGCAAACTGGCGGTTGAAGTCAGTCGAACACGGTTTCGGGGTAGTGGCGACTGGCCCATACGATTGCGAGCTTGTAGTCGTAGTACCGATGGAGCGCATCGTGTCTGCCTCCAATGGACTCGATCTTTCGGTGGAGCGGGGCTACAGACCGTACACCGCTGCTGCAGGTCCAAACTCTTTGAGCCACTTGCTCAACTCGTCGGAAAGCATGGAGCGCTCAACAAAGTAAGTGCTCACCGACTTCTTGGCAGAGGCAGCGGACGTGACGAGGAGTGTAACAGTTCTACGGTAATGTTATCCGGATACATGTCAAAGATCTTCATTACATTGAAGTCGACCATCCAAAGGTTGCAGGCGACCTCACAACATGTCGCCTGGGTTGCTAGCGACTCTACCCACGAGTCGCCTTACCTTTCCATGTTCATGTATCAGAGCTAGATAGCATTACCCTGCCACTTCATTCTTCATTTACCTACTCCTTCCTCTGCATGTGCCCGGTTACACCTGGTAGCACTACAAGTTCGTCCAAGGACCATGGCAGCTTCCCACCAAGCGGTATACGAATGGTCGACATCCTTGGTGAAAGCGACACCCAGTCGCTCTTATCCCCCGTCTCCGCCAATGCCCGAGTGCGATTGCTAAAAGGCATCGGCATCACCCTCAACGCAACGACACAACCCCTTGAAGCTCGCATCAACCAGCTGACCGAGGAAGGTCGAGCCCTCGAAGAATCGCTCCACCAGGGCTCTTCAAATGTTGCAAACGACGTGGGGTAGGTCAGGCAGATAGAGTTCGCCCGATCTGTCTGACCTACCTCACGTCGTTTGCAACGTTTGACGAGCTCATCGTGGCGATGAAGCTCCGCTTCCTTCCCCAACACAGCGATTTCCAATATCGCTCTAAGTTCCTCGCATGTAAGTAAGGCAAAGTTCCTTGCAAGACTACATTCACGACCTTCGCTTTTTGGCCGCGAACGTTCAACGACGACTCCACGCTACCGGAAGCGCTCCGCTTCAACATCTTTATCGCCGGACTTAACCACGGTCCGGAACGTAGACAGCTCTTCCGTGTCTACCCAGCTTCGTCAAAGTGGCTGTCCGCATCGCCCTAGCTGAGTCGTACGCCTCAGCCTTAGCGCACTATCGTGCCGATCCATCGTATATGGATATCTCGGCATTATCCCATACCAACAGCAGCAAGTGCAGTAACTGGGCCCCAAGGATAACTTTTGGCGTGAGTGCAGCGCCACTCGATGAATATTCACTTATTCTGCACAAGACGCGCGATCCGACTCAACTGATCGCCGCACAACCAATCGGAGACACTCTTAAGGTGGGCGTAACCCAAGACGATCCACAGGGTCACCTGGCCGATCTGACGACCAGGTGGCGGGAAACTACAAGGCTCAGTAGGCGCGAGGCGCCCTACTATGGCACCAATAGGTCCTCCCGGTGTGTGTGGTGTTGTATCACACTTGGGTGACCTAGTCTCAAACACAGTCTTCCTTCTGTGCCGCGTCGGACTACGCCCGAACAAAATGGTTACTTTGTCTCTTGCCGTGCCGGGTTTTCCCACCCGACTCACCGTGTTGATCGATTGCGAAGCGTCAGCGAACTACGCCAACCGCTCCACTCATGATCGCATTGGTTCTCTCCCCGTGTCAGATTCCCCTAACATGGTTCGCGTAAAGATGGCCGAAGGCCGCATCTTCGCCGAGCAGCGCTTAGTGTTACGCTGCTTGTTACCTTCGACGATTTTGGCTCCCTCGAAAAGTTCTTTGTGATCGATTTGGATGAGCGTTGGGACCTCATCCTTGGAATGGCTTGGCTCGAATCCAATCAACCAAGGATCAATTGGAAACTCAAAACCATCCACAAGGTCGATTGGCTGAAGACTGATCAGCCGTAGATCCGACGACGCATCGCTGATAAGGCTTCACAGCCTTCGGCGTTATCCGTGGCCCCTGCCCTCACGGATATGAGTAATGAACTCGCCGCTGTTGCCGCACCAGTGTGCGTTTTGGTCCCAGCAAACTTGCCTTCGCAGTCCACGTCGGCAACCTCACCCAGAGAGGTTGCACCCTCGTCTGCTAGACCTCAAGTAGATGCCGCCGTCGTATCTACAACTCCCATCAATCCACCCCATTCCCACACCAATCTCGCCCATCCAACGCCCCTTCAATCGCATTGGACTCAAATTCAGCAGTCGCGTCGCCTTGTTACAGCGCCTCCCATCTCAACTCCGCAGGTTGTTATTGCGGATACGTTCATTCTGCAAGCTTGCAACCTCGATGAGTTAGTTGCCTCAATCGTCGTCGGACATCCTGGCATTGCCAGAGATGAGCTATTGCTTCTTCTTGAAGTCCCTCCGTTCGCACGACATCGGGTGCATAGCGATGATCACGTGCGATGAAGACCTCGACCTATTGTCCTCGTCCACTGCAGACAAATTTGTCCTGCCCAACACAGCGGAGTCCCAGGCATGGGCTTCCCTCCGCTCGAATCCGTTCTTCGACGTCCTTGATGAATTCAAGGATGTATTTCCCGACGACGTTCCCTGTCGACAACCCGTCGACAAGGGTATACGCCATGAAATTAACCTTGTGCGCGGCACGAAATATTGCGTTACTCGCCAATGCCCTCTCCAGCGTGATCAAGTCGAAGCGATTGACGCCTTCTTTGCGGCTCGTAAAGCCGCCGGCCATATACGCGAAAGCACGTCCCCACACAGCAGCCCGACGATCTGTGTAAAGAAACCTAACGGCAAATGCCTTAACAAGCTCAACGCCGCCACCATTCCGGAGCAAACACCGATCCCCCGCAAAGATGTGATTATCCACCATATTCTGGACCATCGACCTGCGCGATGGATTCTATCAAATCGTCATGCGCCTTTGTGACGTGCCGAAGACCGCCGCTCGACACCAAGTGGAATACTTTGGGAATGGCTCGTAATCCCCCAAGGCCTATCCAATACCCCTGCGACTTTCAATCGCATGGTGACGGCCAAGTTCCGCCCTCTCCGCGACTTTGTCCTATTTCGCGGTTCTGACACCGAGACTGACGTCGCAGTTCACCGTCGGCATCTTCCTGTGGTTCTAACCATCCTTCGTGAGAATAGCTTGTACGCCAACCACTCGAAATGTCAGTTTGGGTTCGACGAAATCCCTGTACTTGGCGACCTCGTCGGCATTCGTGGTTGTCGGGCTGATCCGGACAAAGTCAAGACCATCGTCGACTGGCCAGTCCCCTCCTCGGTCACCGACCTTCGCCGGTGACTTGGCTTGGCTACTCACCTCCACAAGTACTCTCGTGGTTTTGTTGAAATCGCGCAACCCCTCTTTCAGTTGCTAGTCAAGGATGTCCATGGGTTTGGTCCAGCGACTGTCAATTCGCCTTCGACGCCTTTAAATCTAGCATCAAGAGCGCCACTATTGGCTTGGCGCTGCCTGATTTTTCCAGGCCGTTCAACGTCGAGTGTGACGCTTCCCAATACGCTATCGGTTTTTGCTTAATGCAACCTGACGCTGATGGTCGCTGGCGCCCTGTATCCTTTCAAAGTCGCCAGCTCCACGCCGCCGAGCGCTCGTACACGGTCCATGGTCTCGAGCTCCTCTTGACCAAGTACACCCTCACCAAGTTCCGCGTCTACCTCATCGGCGCGGACCCCTTCGTCGTATACACCGACCACGCGTCGTTGCGAACTGCCGTCAACACACCCCACATGTCAGCCCGCATGACTCGCTGGCTTTCCTTCTTCGCCGAATTCAATTTCTCGGTTCAATAGACCTCCTGACTAAAGTCTAAATCACTTCGAAATGAAAAAGTGCTTTACAATAAAGTTCTACAGTTTTGGAGTAAGCATGATCTTTCTGCACGGACCGATTCTACATGCAAGTAACGAGTCATTCATCAGAGAGCATATCGCAAAGCAGTAATTGGATCAGTTCATTCGTTGGCGATCGTTCATCAATCACTCAATACCATTAGAAAACACTCGATCACTTCTAAATGGATTTAGTTCAATTCAAAATTGAACATCAAAGCAACAATGACCCGTCGAAGCAGTCTCCAAGGACCTCACGTCGCTTCACCAAACCCGCGAGAGACTGTTCAAAACGCTTCCTCGGCCTCCCGCAACCCTGTTACCCGTAACTCTTGCAAATCCGGCCTCCTAACTGCTCGCGCTATGAGCCAAGGAGTAGCCCTACTCAGCAGCATGCAAGATAATCGTCAGGCCAAACGTGCTCGTTTCTCGACTGTTCGCATGGAGAACCGGACGTCGATGAGGACTCTACATCTCCTTACTTCGATGCGTACCTGCAAACCCAGGGTGCCGAGGGGATCTTGACTTTGACGAATTTCACGCCAAGCGAGTTTAACCTTCTCTGGG